CAGCTCTGAAAAGAACCCCAGAAGTCATTGTAGTGGGTGACTCCACTCTAAGGAGTGTCAAAGGCCCCATATGCAGACCAGACTCGCTTCATAGGGAAGTCTGCTGCCTCCCTGGGGCCTGCATCAAGAACCTCACAGCAATACTCCCTACCCTATTGAGACCAAAGGATTACTACCCTCTCCTGGTTTTTCGGGTAGGTAGTGATGACATCACCAGGAAAAGGCCTAAAGCAATAAAAAGAAACTTCTGGTCCTTGGGAAAACTGCTTAAGGGGTCGGGGGCACAAATTGTGTTCTCCTCCATCCCTTTGGTTGGGGGGATGGATGAGGAGGATTACAGGAGAATTCAGCAGATGAATGGGTGGCTCCAAGACTGGTGTTACCATCAGGGCTTTGGATTCTTCAATCATGGGTTGGTATACAGGGCACCTGACCTTTTGACATTAGACGGGATGCACCTGTCCTGGAGAGGGAAGGGGATTTTGGGGCAGGAGTTAGCTGGGCTCATTGAGAGAGCTTTAAAGTAGATTTGAAGGGGGAAGGGGGCAAAACATCAGCCCATCTGAAGTGCATGTATACCAATGCACACAGCATGGGTAACAAACAGGAGGAGCTTGTAGCCATGATGAAACAGGAAAATTACGATGTTGTTGCTATTACAGAAACATGGTGGGATATCTCCCATGACTGGAGTGTGCCAACTGATGGTTACAAGCTCTTTAGGAGGGACAGACAGGGAAGGAGAGGTGGTGGGGTGGCTCTGTATGTTAAGGACTGTTATGATTGCTTCGAGCACAGGTGTAGTGAAGACAGGTTTGAGTGTCTTTGTGTTAGAATCAGGGGGAAGGCCAACAGGGCAGATGTTGTAGTAGGAGTCTACTATAGGCCACCCAACCAGGACAGAGAGATGGATGAGATATTTTATAGGCACTTAGGTGAAATCTCACGATCGCTTGCCCTTGTTCTTGTGGGCGACTTTAACTTCCCAGACATCTGCTGGAAATAGAACACGGCAGAACGAGACCTGTCCCGGAGATTCCTAGAATATGTGGGAGACAACTTCCTGATGCAGCTGGTGAGTGAACCGACCAGAGAAGGTGCCCTGCTGGATCTCCTCTTTGTGAACAGAGAAGGGCTGGTGGACAATGTGGAGGTTGGAGGCCGACTAGGGCACAGTGATCACGAAATAATAGAGTTCTCTATTCTTAGAGAGGTCAGGAGAGAGCTAAGCAGGACTGACATCCTGGACTTCAGAAGGGCTGACTTTGTCTTGTTTAGGCACCTGCTTGAAAGGATCCTCTGGGAGACTCTCCTGAAGGGTATAGGGGCCCAGGAAGGCTGGGCGCTCTTTAAGAAGGAAGTGTTAATGGCTCAGGAGCAGGCGGTCCCCAGGTGCTCTCAGAGAAGCCGATGCCAGAAAAGACCACCCTGGCTGAACAGGGAGCTTTGGCTGCAACTCAGGGAGAAAAGGAGAGTTTACAGCCTTTGGAAGAAGGGGCTAGCCACACACTGATTACAAAGATGCTGTGAGGCTATGCAGGGTGGAAATCAGAAGGGCTAAAGCCCAACTGGAAATTAATTTGGCCTCTGCAATCAAGGATAACAAGAAAAGTTTCTATAAGTATGTCAGTAGCAAAAGAAAGTCCAGGGAGAGTCTCCATCCCCTGCTAGATGCAGGAGGAAATTTGGTAACAAGTGATGAGGAGAAGGCTGAGGTGCTTAATGCCTTCTTTGCCTCAGTCTTTAATAACAAGGTTAGTTGTATTGATGAAATCCAGCCTCCACAGCCAGAATACAGAGACTGGGAGAACAATCCCCCTGCAATCCAGGAGACAGTCAGTGACCTACTGCATCACACAGACACACACAGGTCTATGGGGCTGGATGGGATACACCCGAGGGTGCTGAAGGAGCTGGCTGGGGTGCTCGCCAGGCCACTTTCTATCATTTACCAGCTCCTGGCTGACTGGGGAGGTCCCGACTGATTGGAAATTGGCCAATGTGACACCCATCTATAAGAAGGGTCGGAAGGATGATCCGGGAAATTACAGGCCTGTCAGCTTGACTTCGGTGTCTGGGAAGCTGATGGAGCAGTTCATCCTAAACACCATCATGCAACACATGAGGGACAACCAGATACTCAGGCCCAGTCAGCACGGGTTTATGGTCCTGCTTGACAAACCTGATCTCCTTATATGACAGAGCGACCTGCTTGTTGGATGAGGGAAAAGCTGTGGATGTAATTTACCTTGACTTTAGCAAGGCTTTTGACACCGTTTCCCATAGCATTCTCCTGGCAAAAATGACTGCTCAAGGTTTGGACAATCACACATTTTGCTGTGTAAAAAACTGGCTGGATGACCAGGCCCAGAGAGTTGTGGTAAACGGAGTTAAATCCAGCTGGCAGCTGGTCATGAGTGGTGTCCCCCAGGGCTCAGTTTTGGGGCCACTCCTGTTTAACATCTTTATTGATGATCTAGACGAGGGGATCGAGTGCACCCTCAGTCAGTATGCAGATGACCCCAAGTTGGGTGGGAGTGTTGATCTGCTCGAGGGTGGGGAGGCTCTGCAGAGAGACCTGGACAGGCTGGAGCCATGGGCTGAGCCCAACTGGAGGAGTTTCCATAAGGCCAAATGCCGGGGGCTGCCCTTGGGCCACAACAACCCCCAGCAGCGCTACAGACTTGGGGAGGAGTGGCTGGAGAGCTGCCAGTCAGAGAGGGACCTGGGGGTATTGACTGACAGCCGGCTGAATATGAGCCAGCAGTGTGCCCAGGTGGCCAAGAAGGCCAATGGCATCCTGGCTTGTATCAGGATTAGTGTGGCCAGCAGGGACAGGGAAGTGATCTTGTCCCTGTACTTGGCGCTGGTGAGGCCGCACCTTGATTCCTGTGTTCAGTTTTGGGCCCCTCACTACAAAAAGAACATTGAGTTACTCAAAGGTGTCCAGAGAAGGGCAACAAAGCTGGTGCAGGGTCTGGAGCACAGGTCGTACGAGGAGTGGCTGAGGGAACTGGGGGTGTTTAGTCTGGAGAAGAGGAGGCTGAGGGGAGATGTTATCACCCTCTACAACTACCTGAGAGGAAGCTGCAGAGAGCTGGGGATGAGCCTCTTTAGCCTAGTAGACAGTGACAGGACAAGAGGGAATGGCCTCAAGTTGTGCCAGGGAAAGTTCAGACTGGATATTAGGAAGCATTTCTTTACAGAACAGGTTGCTGGGCATTGGAATGGGCTGCCCAGGGCAGTGGTGGAGTCCCCATCCCTGGAGGTGTTCAAGAGTAGGGTCGATTTAGAGCTTAAGGATATGCTGTACGTGGGAACTGTGCTAGGCAAACGGTTGGACTAGATGATCTCCAGGGTCCCTTCCAACCTAGATGATTCTATGATTTCTGGAGAAACTTCACTGTATTGTAAAACTTCATAAGTTTGCTTTGTCTGATAGGTAAGGACCAGTGTCTCACCTTCATCCATGACAGGCTAAGACACATGACAACCATAAGGTAACATGCTTTTCAGTAAGTAGCCAGTAAATTATGCATTAATACCATGAGTTAGAAAATATTAGCAGGTTCTTTCCACCTCAGCAGAAGTTATGGGGAAGGAATTTCTGTTCAGTTCGCTGGAGGGGTAATAATTTGATTCTCAGTGGTGTTTGTCATCATATCTCTAAGTCTGGGGATTGAGGAGATAGCAATTTCATACACAAGTTACTTGGTTGACTAAAGCTTAATGAAAGTTTTAAGTAACTTGTTATTGCTCTTAACAACATTAACAATTTTTCAGGTGGAATAAAATAGGAAGGAAGATGACATATATAAAACAAAGGACTCATGATCAAAACAAAATGGAGGCTCCCTGTAAGACTGTTGTCTTTAGCTTTGCAGATATAGATATATTTTGCTTGTTGCTTTGGAAATGACTGAAGAAAAATTGGTTCTTTTAGTAAAAGTTGAGACAGTAGCAAAAGTCTTTGATTTACGGAGTACAAATGGGGATGAGGGTAGTTCAGACGTGTCAATTCTGCTGCTTTTTCGTTGTGTGTAAAAATAATGTGTGTTGTTTCATTTTTTTTTTTTTTTTTTTTTTTTTTTTTTTGACTACTGATAATTTTATTTTCATTTGAACATTTCACAGGCCATTTCTTTTGGATCTCACTAGTTTCTGAGGGTTACATTAGTGGTAACTACCTCATATTTGCTGTGTTGTGTCTGCTACAGTGTTACTGATCTGAAAACCTATTTCTCCAAAATAATGAAATGTATAGCTATATTGGTTTACATTTGTCAGTTCCCATGTCAGCCTCTCCAGCTCTAAAGATTCTATGAGCTGTCAGCCTGTTGTGTATCTAATGTTTGCAAGAGCTGGATTTCCTTCTACCACTATGTGTGAATCAGAAGCAACTGCTAACAAAAGGAAGATGACTGCCTTTTATTACTAAACCTCAATTAATGAATATGAATGTCATGGTAGAGGATAAAGTAGCCCAAAACCAGAAGTTTGTTTTAATTACATCATTCCTAAAACCAAACCTGAAATATATTAATTTTGGAAAATTTTGTGACAGTCACAATCTTAGAGAATTTTCATGCACAAAGCACCTATGCGCTGTGTCTTAAAACTTGTTTTGTGTTTATTGTATAAACAAAGAAAAACCCCCACTTCTTTAAATATCCATCCCAAATCAGAGTGAAGCAGAACCAAACCAAGTCCTATCTGCTATGAAGATGCCACATCTCTGAAGCAGAAATAAACTGTTGGAGAGTCAGATACCAAATACCACCTGATTTGTTCTAGAGTTTGTCACAGCTTAAGTGAGTACTGATTTCAGTGCTTCAGTTAATTTCATACTAGAAATAGGAAAACAATAGGATCCCAGCTTTTCTGTAGTTTTCCTTGAGTGTATGTCTTTACCCAGTTATGAGGGAAACAAAATATATTACAATGTTGAAAAGCATGGAAAGTAATGCAAAAAAAGTTTGCTTTGTAATTAAAGTTGCAATAGATCTTTAATGAACATATCTGTGTTTCATTCAGTTTTGGCCACTGCTTCTCGAGACAGTGAAATGAAGATTGAAAAGACAAAGAGAATTACAGAAGTGAGGGAAAGGAGGTTGACATACAAGGATAAATTGACAGGTATAGATTTCTGTGATTACACAAAATGAAAAATTAAAGAGCTGCTGTGATTTATTCTTTTTGGACTGTTACAAAATCAAGAATTAGAATTTATTATAGTTAAAGGGTGATGCTTTATTGCCAGAAAGTAATACGAAATGCTGATTTATAACCCAAATAGCCAGCATGTGTCATTTATAGATGTTTGTGGTAATTGAGAGGGAGGTGGTTTTATGCAAAGATTTTGTGTGGAATAAACTGCTGGAGTAAGAGATATATTTTTACCAAGCAAAATGATAGTAACAGGTATGTATATGTCTTGACTCATATTATTTCTTTAACAACAGTATTTTTCAGTATACCAGTCTGGGTTCTTATGTCATAAAATTACCCTTTATTTTCTGATTAAGTGGTTGGGCTTTGGAAAAATCTCATTTTCATTTTTCACTGTATTCAGTATTCTCATGAAATCAGATGAGATGCTAGACCATCTATATGCCAATTACCTAATCTGTAAATGGCTGTAATAATATTTATTCTAAAAGGTTTCCATTATTTACTTTTGCTAGTAGAATGTTTTCAGATACTCAGTTGGAAAATGCTAAAGAAAATAGAATTAGCAGTATTGTTTCTCCTTGAAATATCAAGTACAGGCATTGACAAAGGCAAGTTATTGATCTATCTAGCAAGAACCTGTAATAGCAAACTTCCATGTCTGTTTATATATTTAGCAGCATCTAATATTAGTAGAGTCAAATTTCTGTCAACATTTTTGTAACCGTAGCTGCTCTGAGTTCCAACTTGGCATTCAGAAAATTTGCACCATAAATGCACACTTTTGCACTACTTCTGAACTCTACCATGGAGTCCATTTCTAACACTGTCTGTGCAGATAGCTAATATGATGGTGACAGCCTTCATTCATTCCATCACCTTCTTTTACTCAGAATGCCTGCCAACATAGGTCTGTGCTAAATTATTTTCTTCTTTAATTTCATTAGTGTGGTTACAGTACTGGTGGATTTGGTGGTGTGTGATTAAAATGAGAACCACAAGATACTTAGGTGCCTAACTGCCATTGACTCAGAGTCGCTTGCCTAAATAAATACCTTCTGGAACTTATGCTACAGTAATTTGTAATTATGGATTAGGACTAATTGGTTTGGATTCCTGAATTCTTGAATCATCAACTAGAGATGTTTTAAATGGGCATCTTTTTCTCAGAGTGAATACTCGGCACTGTCTGAAAACTTTTTTTTCAAGGTATCTTCAGCTGGAGATGGAAATTGCTTCTCTCTTTTGAAAGCTTTGGTTGACAGCTGTTGTAATAAAACAGTCACCAATCCCCAATACTCTTTAGTATTTCAAAGGAGTGTTCCAAATGAGGGGGAGGTCTTTCCCCTTTCCCTTAATAAACACCCTTGTGAAACCATTTCTTTGTGACAATAAAAAAAAGAATAAAAGAAAAAAAAAAAAACAGAGTGCTTATCTGAGTTGTACATGCATTCTGTAATACAAGTAATTTTGATCTGATTGTTCAACAACCATGTTAAGTCTCTGGGAACTAGAGATGTCCTGCATCACATTATTTTTTATAGTAAGGAAGCAGATTAGAACTACTAAATGGGTTCTTTACAGACAAATACAATGTAAAGATGTAAAATATGTATAGTGGTTTCTATTGTTCCTTTTAAAAAGAAGATCTCAAGGCTTTTCTATGTATTACATACAGAAACAACTAGCTGTTTTAGAGCTGTAGGGATTAATTCCCCAATTACTCCATAAAAGGCTTAAAGAATGTGTGTATTCAAAATGTAAATGTGTAAAGGAGGCTGCCTATAGACAACCTGCAACCATTACCTTAGGAGATTAATATACATTATATTTTCTGTTCTTCAGCATAAAAATATGTTATCTCAGTACAATTCCCAACTCACATAATCTCTTCATTGCCTTTATATTCCCAGAATACATGTAGTCCAGAATCTTACTATAATTATATACGGTGACATATTTCTTTTCATGGGTAGCAGAATGAAATGCATGTCACCTGATGGTCTGTAGGCTGTAGCAGATCTGCTAACTGTGAGAAGCCACTGCCTATGGGTTGATTCACAGTGATCTTCTCACTTTGCTGAGAGTATGCCATGTGTGAATAACACTGCACTCTCTTGCCATGTTGCATCTAAACTGTTGTAATTCCACTACATCTTCTCTCCCAAAATACTGTGAAACAGTTAATGAAATGAAGAATAGTCGTTGTAGAAGGTGATGTTATATACTAGGATGAATCTAGTCTTTTCATTATTTTTTTTTTTTTTTTTTTTTTTACCAAATCCACTAGATTCCACTCAGGTTTTTGTATTTTTATTTCTTTTTTATGACTCTATATGTGTGTGCATGTATAATTTGTGTAGAAACTCAAACTGGGATACACCTACTGTTAGACTGCACATCTTCAGAAATGCAGGAACAGCTTTTTCCTTTCTAGTTTATTAAGACATTCAGTCATGAGCTGTTTTCCTGATTGTTATTACAGTGCCTGGCACACTGTGCCTATAATTAATATTAATGATTTCTAGTTTACACTCAGAACATAGCCTCCACTCTTCCCACAACAGAATAATAATTTATTGGTTTGATTTTCCTTGAAATATTATCCTGTTTCCAAGTCATATTCCCCTGAGAGCTCCAGCACTGAAGGTGCCAGTAGTGTGCAGATGCAGAGACCCAGGCAATTCAGTGTTAGCCTTTCAAACAACAGCTAAAATACTGGTTGCAGAAGTTCTACATCACATGTTCTGGGCTACAGAGATGCAGGAAGGTGCAGGAGGGTGTTGGGAGTGAAATGACTTGGAAGCCTCACATCATTCCTTATTCCACATAAGCTGCATACTAAATACTGTTGCTTTCACATTTTGGGAACAGCTTTTTACTACATGAGCCATGTGAGAAATGTTACCTAATTTAGAAAGTAGTAAAGCTCTTCTAAGTACTGTAGAAGTGATGATGATTAATGCAAGAGTTGTACTCAGCCCTTTAAATACTCTGTATAGCTTATTTCTTCCCCTGCTGTTCAGAGTAGAAAAGAAATATGCACGACTGAAAGCTATAGGAGGACTGGTCACGGTGAATGGTGCCTGTGTAGACTGTTCCTCTCTACTTTCTAACTCCCTAACTATTCTATAGGTGCATTAATGGCCACATTTAACAGGCTGCTGAGACGATATATTGCACTGAAAAACACTGAAGGAACACCTACAGTTAGTGGCATACTTGGTTCTAAGAAATGATGAAAATTTTCAGTAAAATGGGTGGTAGGACAATGCTTCTGAGACCAGCATTACCTTCTCTGGTGTGTATGGCCCCTGGCCCTGCCCTACTGGGTGATAAGGCTGCTGTCGTGTCTGTGGGAAGTAAGGTCATAGTATGAGATAAACATTCTTCCATGTATCTGAAGTAGTTCTATTAGTCCTACAGATTAAGAAGGAAAGAGTCACGCTATGCAGCAATACAGAAAATAATCTGAAGTCTTGCCTAGGATCCCTACGTGTTCTAAGTACAAAGCTTTGCAAGTGTATTTCTTACACCTGGAGGCATTAAACAAAAAAGCATTAGAGTGACAAACATATACATCAAACTATGTTATTTGGCTCTATTTTCCTTGATCTACTCAAGTAGTGCCATTTTATACTACCCCTCAAATGACTCCTTATACGTGCAGGTGTGATTTAGAATGTTTCTGTAATGCATTAAACACTTCCACTCATTTATTCCCCATCCTGCCTTCAAGCTAGTGTGTCTGTGTCCCACCATTTACCCTTACCCTTCTCATGGCAAGACCATCCATTCTCCAATCCCTCATTCATAGCACAGGCTTTGGGGTTTTTCTCTTCCCTTATTACCTTGTCACTAGCATGCTTGCCCACACTTCTGACACCGTGTTCCTGTTATTGACTGCCCTTCACTCGATGCCCCTCATTTTCCCTCTCCAGATATTTTGGGTGCTGCTCTTCCCCTGCGCTGCTGCTGCGTTCTTTCACAGAGCCTGCACTGTCGCTGCGCTGACACCGCATTGCCTCGGCAGTCCACGCTCACACGGGGCCGGGAAGCTCATTCTGCAGGAAGGTTCATGCCCACGTTTTCTTGTATCTCTTGTTCCTCCCATCCCGGCGGCCGCCGGGGTCCGCCCAGACCCGGTGCGTCCGCACAGCCCCGGTGGGTCCCGCCCAGCCCCGGTGAGTCCCGCCCGACTCCGGTGGGTCCCGCCCAGCTCTGGTGTGTCCGTCCAGCCCCGGTGGGTCCGTCCAGCCCCGTTGTGTCCCGCCCAGCCCCGGTGGGTCCGTCCAGCCCCGGTGGGTCCCGCGGGGATGCGGGACCCACGTGCGGGGGTGCGCCGGTAGCAGAGGGCCTCCCTCCGCCTTGGGACTGTCCAGGGTGCTGAACGCCGGCCGCAGGTCGCGCCCGCTTCAGCACGCACCCTTCCTTTCGTGACTCTGCTACCGGTATGAACGTCAAAGAAACACAATTATCTCCGAAAGCTAACTCCCAAATTTCCTGTTTAATATAGAGGAAAGTTATCAACCCGCTACGGTAAAGCATCAGGTATCTATCTAGTAAGAAATCTTAACAAAATGACGTGAGGGAAGAGAATAGTACTGCTATAAAATGAATCTGATGGCTTGTTTTTATCAATCAGGCTTGCTATTTTTGTCAGATACCAGCCTTTGATCTTATGACGATTCTTTAGGGGCATAATGGAAAAACTGAGAGCCAGATTGTAATTCTCCCATGACTATGATTCAGGAGTAACTGTATTGAAGTCAAATTAAACTAATGTGAAACAGATGTAAGTGGGTTCAGACAGAGAGTCAGTACTATGAAGCTTGAGTTAATACTTTTTTACTTTTTTACATGGCAGATCTTTTACTAAAAAAAAAAAAAAAAAAGCTACAATATACTATTACACTAATAATGCGCATGTACTTTTTCAGATAGGATAAAAAAGTGAGTTAACTACTTCACTGCAGTTCTTGATGGCCATACAAAGGATTGATATAACAGGTGTCTGAAAGCTGAAGTCTGGCTAATGAGAATGGTTACCAGAAAACTGAAGATGAAGAAGATGACTGCAAACTATGAACCAGGTACCCTCTCTCCTGTTCTGGCATTCAGAGGGTGGATGCTTAAAGTGGGCATAAGGATATGAACGATGTGTTAGGATATGAGAGGCAAGATCCATAGCATATTCTGTGTAGTGTCACTGACCAAAGGAAACTTCAGACAGGCTGTGGTAACACAAACAGGTCTGATCTGAGAAGATACCATCCTGGCAAAGTTACTAAAGTGTAGCTGCCCTAGGTAGACTCACTGATTTCATTGAAACCATTTCTGCCAATAAGTAAATTTTCTGTTGTGTGGGTTCATCCCTGAATGAATGAAGACACAGCACTGTATGCTACAACTTAAAAAGTGGTAAGAGACTTCATGCAGTAGAAGACAATAAAAAGAATAGGTTGCTTTTCCTTGCAGAGTACACAGTAGTCCCCTTCTTAGTTAACTTCTTGATGCCTAACTACACTACAGCTTCTGAAAACCATCTGAAAAAAAAGGTCTTCAGGTTATCCTAGATAAAAGGCTTTAAATATCCTCCTAGACAGAGGCTTCCTAGAGAATAAAGAAGTCATAAAAGGTTTCTACACTGGAACCTGTCCAATTTCATACTACTAAAGGATGGGTTAATAGAATCTAAAGATCAGGATGCCCTTCACTTGGGTTATTCTCTGGCTCTCTTGGTCTGAGCGTAAATAACAGCACTCCTGTGGGAATAAACTGACTGAAGAATGATCTTCACAATCAGAAATATCAGATTTCAAACAACCATATAGTTAATCATAAATTGAATTGTTATATACACAAATGAGCATATTGCAAAGTGATGACATAAAGACTTCCATCTAACTATGTCTCATCTCTTCAGTGCATCAAGACATGGAACATACAGGTAAAGATGATCTCTATCTACTATCAATGCATTTTTCCATTGCTGCTCACTGGATTTAAGTAGGTATAAGAACTATTTATTCATCTGTTCTGCTATGGCTTTCTTTGAGTTACATGAGAAGGGCTTCTAAATCACTCGTGCCATATGATCAATGAACAGTAACAGGGCAATTAGCATTTTATTTTTCTTTCAGTGAGATTTCTTGTAATAGAAAGCCTCTTGTCTATTGTGTTGTGACTGTCACAGGCCTAGTCCTATAAGGCACAGATCTTCAACTAACACCAACTCTGAGAACATTAAGTCTGAACGATGAGCCCTGAAAGAAAAGGAAGGAATTAGTCAGACCAGTTTGATAAACGGCTGATATAAAGCGAAGTCCTGAAAATTCTTATTTTTTTTTTTTTTTTTTCTTGGTGGTCTTTCATTTAAATATTAAACATTACTGAATCCACTTAGCTTATAAAAGTTGACAGAGTAACAGCTTGAAACACCATAGCTTCAAGGTACCAGTTCTCCCTATTGTGAGAATGTGACATCACTGAGGGGTGAAAGGCCTTTTATTTGCATAAGATAATAGTTGCGTTTCTATGCAACAGCTGTGCTGTCAGTGAAAGATGTGCTCATTGTGCCAAATCCATCTCTGGAGTAACCCCATTGATTTTAAATGAGTTACTTTGGGAATAAATTGACCCGCTAGGTAAAACTGCAGGTCTGAGGCATCAAAATAATTGAGCAAGGTTTCCATGATCATAACATGGTAAAAAATTGCTAAACATTACATGATGTCATGAATTTATGTACCTGATAGATCACAATTGATTTGTGACAAGATGTTTTTTTGCTAAAGCAAATGTTTATGTAGAGCTTACGGACACTTCTTGGGAACATGGGGCCATTAAGAGGATACAAGAAACAGGAATTATGGTATTGTGTCATTATTATCTACATAGTGTTACTGTAAGTCAAACAAATGAGCTGTCTCTCTAAGGTCAATTTAATAATGAAGGATTCAAATGGCCACATGAAAATTCCTGTTCTTTTGACAGTAACAATCGGGATGTGTTTCCACTGATGAACTATGTGAAACTTTCACCTCTAGTCTATAGACTTCCTGCATATGTTAACAGGAGTTTAATGCTGTTGGCCTTTCAGTGGCCTGTTTGAGTTTGGTGATCTTAGGTGAGTTTGCAATGGACCAATGTCTGTGGTACAATACCCACCTCATCAGTTAACTGCTGGTAGTTATGGCACAAACTCAAAATAGTGCTTGGGTTAGGGTGACACAACTGAGTAATATATGCCTATATGTTAGTTTTTCCCAGTAAGGTACAAGGAAGATGTCAGTAAACTGGAAACTGTTTTGAATGCTGAGGAAAAGTTATATACATGCATATATATGTTATATGTGTGTGTATAAATACATAAGTAGTTCTTTATTGATACATATTTGATGTGATCTTGTGGGGGTTCAGAAGCCTTCTTTGAGGCCTTTTTGGTTATTGGAATCATTAAAAGATTTCCTGACCATGATTCAAGGAATCACACAGCACAATTAGCAAAGCCTACGCTTACTTTTTTTTTTTTTTTCCATTCAGTTTGCAGAAGTAACAACAGGAATCCTGAAGCCTATTCAGAAAGCATCATGGTTTGCTTGCAGAGTAAATACCTTGTGCTCCTGATGTCATCATTGCAATCATCTCAAATTCAAGTCTGACTGAGCAGGCTCATTATCATTCTCACCATGTTCTCCCTTAGAGCAGCCTCTCCCGCCTCCTCCTGTACGGAACAAAACAAGAGCCACAGGGGTGCTTGGATTAGGCAAAGGAGAAACACCCAGCACCTCCCCCCAAGAAAACTTGCTGCATTACTTCCATCTAGTTTATTCAAACTACATACTGCTTTATGGGACCTTGCACACCACCACCAAGTGAAGGTGTGGATTCACAAGTACTGATTTCCTTTTTCTGTTTAGGGTTGAACAAAGACTGGGGACAAGCATGGATGTGTGTGTTTATTTAGGTTCTGAATGTGGATATGAAAAGAGTGTGCCAACCTCCACAGTAAGACTTTCCTGAGGAGAGCCACATATTTCAGGCTGTTTTTTTTCAGCAGGATAGATTTCTCCCTTTCATCTTACAAGGTTAGCTAACATCTGAGCAACAGATAGGAAAGCAAGACAGAGAGGGCAGTTGAGCAAAAATAAGTATAGGGGAAAAAGCAGGGGACAAATTGTCTTAAGCACCAGGTTTAGATCACAACCACATTCCCTGAAAATATGGACCTCAGGACTGTTTCTGATATGGTTCTCTGACCCATGACCCACATGAATTTGTGGATCTCTCTCCTAAACCATCCCCAGTGAATGATCCCCTTCACACAAGGAGTTGATTTTAATTGTGGAGGAGGCAGGACAGGGTTAACCTCCTGCAGGCCACCAGAGGGGCTGTTTTTTTTTTTTTCGTGGCTAAGGGAGTGGAACTGGAGACCTTTCTGGTGCTACCAGCTTTATTTTGGGGGTTTGAGGGAAGCCTGGAGCAGGAGGGAGAGGAGGGAAAATGCAGCCTTGAAAGCAGTGAGTGTCTGGTAATTGCATAAGGTAAAGCCAAGCGTCGTCCATTTCCCCGAAGCCCCCCGAGAGCTGAGGGGGGGTGGGGTGTGTGTGTGTGTGTGTGCTCCGAGAGGCCTCCAGCCTCCTTCCCAGCCCCCTGCCCCCTCCCCGCAGCCCGGCCCCATCCCTCAGCTCTGCGTGCCAGCCTTTGCCTTGACTCGAGGTGTCTGTCCCTGTCCACAGCGCGGAGAGGAGCGGGGACAGAAAGGGGAGCAAGAGTCTCCTGGCTTTCGGGGTGCGCGGTCCTGGTCCACCAGAGCCTGCGGGGGCTCGGAGGATCTCCTGCCCTTCCCCTCCCCCTGCGCTGCAGAGGCTCTGGATGCTGCCGTACTCCTGCCATGTGCTGCCGCCGCCGCTACTGCTGCGCGTAGCTTAGTGGAGCGTGTCTCCGGCTGCAAACTCCGCCGAAGAAGCCTGCATCCTCCTCCAGGGAAGGATACCCAGTAAGTACCAGCCGGGGCCTGCCCCCTCCCTAGGGCACCCCGCCACCGCCCCTTACAAAGGGACTCGCAGCATCTCCCCACCCCCTTTTTAAGCCAGCGCAGAGCGCGGCTCCGTGAATTCCCTCCAAAGCTATAGGGTGGCTCCCTCCTCCTCCTCCTCCTGTCCTCCTCCTCCTGTCCTCCTCCTCCTCCTTCTCCTCCTCCTGCTCCTGCTCTTGCTCCTGTCCTCCTCCTCCTCCTCCTCCTTCTCGGCTCTCCTCGGCGAGCCAGGCTGCTGCTGCATCCAGCCGGGGTGGTCCCCAGCCTCGCCCCGGCCATGCCGCTGCGGCTCACTCCCCGTGGCTGACCTTTGTTACCCCTCTAGTGCCCGGGGCTAAACTGAGGTGGGGTCATTTTGGGGG